GTCAAATTAAACCTCGTCGAAAGGTGATTAATTCGATATATTATATGTGAAAAATTGATAACAAACAAAAAAGTTATTAAGCTTTGAAAATTGTTGGTTTTTTGTTACAAGCCAAGTTAAAAAAAAAATAGATATGAGTGGATATTGCATCCGTTTCTTTTGGTACTGGTTTTTCAAATTCAACATTTCGTATCAATGCTAATCTTTGTTTCTTGATCGTATATGTGCAATATTTTTATATTCACATAGCATGCGTGTAAATTGGCCTTTTTTTTTTGTACAATAAAGGAGGACAAAGCCTAGGAATTACAGCTGCTTGCGTTTCTCATCTACGGCAGATAGTAAGTAATTACTTTGATGTACTGCTGCTGGATACATTATCATGTCATTTAGGTGCTAATTTTATGTTACTTATTATCGTCCTTTGCCCACTATTCTTTTGGATTATCGTTATACTCTTCGTATTTGGAGTCATAAATGAGAAAAAAAATGGAGTCATAAATGAGAAAAAAAAAAAATAACTAAAATTCAGTACTTCCACTGCACTTTGATGCAATCCAATGAAAATAATTATTTTAGAGCATCCACAATGCTTTAGGTTCAATCACAAAAAATTGTATGATACATAAGAAATAGACTTAGTCTAAAAAAATGTATTCTCCAATTCAAACAAAAATAAACTGGGTCCTGCTGATGTGACAGCCAGAAAAAGAGACTCGGTCTACCCTTAAGTCTATTTTAGACCCAAGTAGAGACCTAGCCTCTTTGCATTGGAGTAAGTTTTATTAATTTTACATACTTTTATCCATGTCATCTAAGACTTGGATTTATTTACATGCCACATAGACATGACTAGACTCAATGCATTGTAGATGCTCTTAATAACCAAGAGACCAATGCGTATAAAAAAACTCATTTCAGGAAGAATTTTGTTATGCTTCAAGAATTCATAAACCCATAATTTGCACTGCATCACTAGAGTAAGAGCATCCACGAACATCTATAACATCAAAAGCATTCACAAACATCTACTATCATTTTTTCCAATGCCATTCTTCTTAAGTTATAAAATACATGTAACAACGAATTTTATGTCGAAACATAAGATTTTTGTACAACTGAATTTTATTCCAATCAAACAATATTGCAGGTACAATCTCTACTTATCTACTCTGGTTCTTCTTTTCATGGATTTGGATTTGGATCTTTGAAGCTTTGACGGTTGGATCTCCTTCATGCTTGAACTTGAATTTGTCTAACGTTAATT